ATATTATATATTATATATTATATATTATATATTATATATTATATATTATATATTATATATTATGCGTGTGTGGTTTTTGCATGGGTAGGTGGTTTGTGTTGATGTTTAAATTTATTTTTATTTTTATTTGTTTTCTTGCGATGCGTTGCTGTACGGTGCCCGATTATCTGCTGCTGCTGCACTTGCTGCTGCACTTGCTGCTGCTACTGTTACTGCATTTGCTGCTGCACTTGCTGCTGCCACTGCATTTGTTGCTACATTTGCTGCTGCAGTTGTTTTACTTGCTGCTGCTGGTACATTTGCTGCTGCTGCACCTTTTGTTGCTGCTACATTTGCTGCTGCTGCACCTGCTACTGCTGCACCTGCTGCTGCTGCACGTGCTACTGCTGCACATGCTGCTGCTGCATTTGCTGCTGCTGCTGCTGCTGCTGCTGCTGCATATGTGTGCAGATGGCGTATTAACAGTTCATGACTTCTGCCCCGTCTTAAACACCGTAAGCTGCGGATTTGGTCTATCACCATCTACAGCAAGACAAACCTGGCTAGCTATACAAACTCCAACAGCAGCAGCAGCAGCAAATGCTGCTGCAGCAGCAGCAAAGGTGTAGCGTACATACATCTACAGCAAGACAAACCTGGCTAGGCATGCAAACGCTAACAGCAGCAAATGCTGCAGTAGCAGCAGCAGCAGCAGCAGCAAAGGCGTAATCTACTCCTACAGGAAGACAAGCTTGGCTAGAGCCATACAAACACCAACAGCAGCAGCAGCAGCAGCAACAGCAGCAACAGATGCTATACGAACACCAAGAACAGCAACAGAATAAATCTGCTGTGCTGCTTGCTGAACAGCAGCAGCAGCGGTAACAGGAGCAGCAGCAGCAGCCGACACAGCTGCTGTGCCGCTTGCTCAACAGTAGCAGCAGCAGCAGCAACGGCAGCAGCAGCAGCAGCAACAACAAATCGGTAGCGCTTTTTTTTTGGCTTGTTAAAGGGAGGCTGATGTTTTAATAAGTGCGGCCTCCTCTGCATGCACAGCAGCAGAAACAAACAGAATCAGTTAACATTATTACTATTAATAAACAAAACCTATTATTAATAAACAAAACTTATTAGAAAAGAGCTAGTGGTAAACAGCAGCAGATGCATGCAGCAGCAGCAGCTGCTGCTGCTGCTGCTGCTTTCATGCATCCCTTTACAGTTCCTTGTCTATATACGCACAGGTGCCTATACACCTGAAATTGTCTGCCCCACAGCAGCAGCAGCGCCGCCACAGATCAAGGCTTTGTCTGCTGCTGCTGCAGCTTCACTTCGGAGGAGTGCAGCAGCAACTGTAGTCTTAACCGAGCTCTGCTCTAGCTCCTGCTGCTGCTGTTGCTCAGTTTGCTGCTGCTCCTGCTGGTGCTGCTGCTGCTCAGTTTGCTGCCCTTGCTGCTGCTGCTCAGTTTGCTGCTGCTGCTCTGTTTGCTGCTGCTCCTGCTGGGGGTCACCTGCGTTTTGCTGCAGGAGTTGCTGGTGTTGCAGCTGCTGACGCATATCGATCTGCTGCTGCTGCTGCTGCTGCTGGGCGAGGGCAACGAGGTGCAGCAGCTGCTGCACTCTATCAAAATCGCAGTGGGGAGACCAATAGCACAAAGCAGATAACTCTACTGTCTCTGCTGCAGCAGCAAGCAGCTGCAGCAGCTCTCCTCGTCCCCCTACCCCTAGGGCCCACTCTGCTAACCTGCATATACACCCCAAACTACGTGCAAGCTGAAACGGGGCTTTATAAGGATCTGCTGCTGCTGCTGCTGCTGCATCGCCGCCCCCAGCAGCAGCAGGAGCAGCAGCAGGGGCAGGGGGCAGCGTACCCGCTTGCTGCGCAGTCTCTACAATGCGGCGGACTAGAGATGCAGCAGCAGTAGCACAGAGGCCCTTCACAGCAGCAGCAAATGCTGGTGAATCTAAGACATCTCTCGCTTCCTGCAGCAGATGCAGCACTTCACCTGCTGCAGCAGGAGACAGAGCAGCAAGCGCGCTGCTGTCTATACACCCCTCTTCCGGCAGCAGCAACGCCGCATATCCACATTCCTCCTCTATGCCTAGTGCTGCTGCTGCTGCTGCTTCTGCTGCTTCTGCTGCTGCTGCTGCTGCTGCTGCTTCTGCTGCTGCTGCTGCTTCTGCTGCTGCATCGGCTGCTGTCGTTGCATCTGCTTCTTCCGCTGCTGCTGTTGCTGCTGACTCATCCGAAACAAAAGCCGTTCCCGGCTGTCCTGACTGTTGCTGCTGCTGCTGCTGCTGTTGCTGCTGCTGCTGGTGGCGTTGCTGCTGGGCTGCCTCTCGGCAAAGCCTTTTGCATATTCTCCACATGATTTGCTGCAGCTGCTGCTGCAGCAGCTGCGCTGTTATTGGGGTGTGGGGTGGGTGCAGCGCGAGAAAGACAGAGACCTCAGCAAGAGCAGCAGCAGCAACACGACATACAAATGCAGCAGAAGCAGCACGGCGTGTAGAGGACAGAAAGACAAAGTTCTGTTGATGTTGCTGCTGCTGCTGCTGTTGCTGCTGCTGCTGCTGCTGCAGTTCCTGCGGCTGCTGTTGCTGCTGCTGCCGTTCCTTGTTCAGCAGCGATGCAGCGAGGAGATTCACTTCCACGCGGTGCAGCAGCAGCAGCAGCAGCAGCAGCACGGAGCAGCAAACTGTCCTAGCTAAGACATTTGCAGATAAACCCTTGAAGCATGCCTCCTTCTGCTGCGGCGTCATTCTGCTGCTGCGCTGCGGCTCTCGCAGCACTCGGGTGTATGCATCAACAGGGAAGGCTTCTTCTAGCTGCTGCTGCTGTTGCTGCAGCAGCTGCTGCAGCAGCAGCAACAGAGAATCATCTGAGACAGATTGATTACGTACAAAGTGAAAGGCAGCCACCCACTCTGCTTCCGTTACCTCCTGCTGCTGCTGCTGCTGCTGCCGCAGCTGCTGCAGCTCCTCTTCACTTAAACCCAACTGCTGCAGCAGCAACCCAGTCAGGTCTCCCTCATCAGCTTCTAGCAGCGCAGCAAGCCGCTTGTGGTGCCTGTATATCTTTACTGCTGCTGCTGCCGCTGCTGCTGCTGCTGCTGCTGCAGCTGCACCCGCTAAAGTCCTATAAGGGTGGCGCTTGATAGCACCCCACATCCGAGACAACATCTTTGCTGCTGCTGCTGCTGCTGTTGCTGCTGCAATTGTGATGTGACGCTGGTCTTTTCCTTCGTTGATTGCAGAGCTGCTGCTGCTGCTGCTGCTGCTGCGAGCAGCAGCAGCAACTGTGTTTGCTGCTGCGTTGAAGCCGGTGAACCCTTCAACTTCCTCTCGCGGCTGCTGCTGTTGCTGCGGCGTCGCCTGCAGCAGCAGCAGCAGCTGCTGCTGCTGCTGTTGCTGCTACGGAGGACCCCGCAAGGGCTTTCTCAGCTGCTGCTGCTGCTGCTGAAGCTCCCAGAAGTGAGTAGAAGAGAAAGGCAAGACGGCTTCTAGAGCAGCAGCAGCCGCTGCTGCTGCTGCTGCTGCTGCGGCTCTCTGCGTTGCTGCTGCAGCTGCTGTTGCTGCTGCAGCTACACCCCCCAGCTTTCGCTAACGAAGCAGAATAATCAGAGCATCTATAAACCATCAAAGGAGAGCTTCGAGGGAGAAGATGAAGAGATTGCTGCTGCGTCTCCACGTGGCAGCAGCAGCAACAGCAGCTGCAGCAGCAGCAGCTGCAGCGGCAGCAGCAGCAGCAAGGGGGGCCCCTGCTGCTCAGTGCTACCGATGGCTTTGTGCTGTCTTCTGTGGCTGACGAAGCAGAGTGAAATAAAATAAAGTTTTTGTTTTATTCCTAAGAAGAAGACAAAGCGGCTACTGAGATGTGCCTCTGTCTTCTGCTGCTGCTGCTGCTGCTGCTGCTGCTGTTGCTGTCTCCTGCTGCTGTTGCTGCTGCTGTCTCCTGGTGTTGCTGCGGCTGCCTGCTGCTGCTGTTGCTGCTGCTGTCTGTTGTTGCTTTTGCTGCTGCCGCTGTTGTTGCTGTCACTGCTACTGCCGTTGCTGCTGCTGGTGTTGCTGCTGTTGCTGCTGCTGCTGCTGCTGCTGCTGCTGCTGCAGTCTCAGCAGCAGCTTGCAGAGTCTCGTGTATCGTTTCTTATCCTTCTTTTTGCTTGTTTTAATATCATAAGATTATATTAATGCCTCCGTTTTAACATTATTATATTAATGCGTCTGCTTTAATATTAACTTTCGGTGTACTCTGTAGCCTAAACCCTAAACCCTAAACCCTAAACCCTAAACCCTAAACCCTAAGTAGCCCTCAAGCAGTTGTTTGTGGTCTTCTGGGATGCCCCTGGGGCAGCAGCAAAAGAAGGGGGCCCCTCACAGCTGCAGCAGCAGGGGGGCCCCCCAAGCAGCAGCAACACGGGGCCCCCTACTACCCCTCTCTTTGCGGATCTCAAGCGGCGTTTTGCTTCGAATCACCTCCGAGCTGCCTGTACACCCCAAAACAACTTCAATTGTTGAGTGGCGGAGATCCTTTTTATGCTCTTGCAAACTACAGCTAGCTAGCTAGCTGTCCAGCTAGCTAGCTAGCTAGCTAGACAGGTGGTTAGTTAGTTAATCAGTTGTCTAGCTAGCTAGACAGGTGGTTAGTTAGTTAATCAGTTGTCTAGCTAGCTAGCTAGCTAGCTAGCTAGACAGGTAACTAGATAGTCAGCTAGCTAGCTAGCTAGCTATATCTATATATCTAGCTATCTACCCAGCTAGCTAGCTATTTAGACAGGTATAGGCTATAATGCAGCAAGGACATGACGGCGACGGGTGTATGAAGGAGGGAGCAGCAGCAGCAGCAGCAGTAGCAGCAGCAACAACAGCACAAACAGCAACAGCAACAGAAGCAGCAACAGCAGCACTGAACAAGCAGCAGCAGCAGCAGCAGCAGAAGAGCGCAAAAAGTGTGAGACAGGATGGGGGGTTGGGTCCACCAGCTATCGATGCTGCTGCTAACTCGTAAAAAAGAAAGAAACATGTGCAGCAGCAGCAGCATTTGCTGCTGCTGCTGCTGCTGCTGTTTCAAGTGGATTTGCTGCTGCTGTCTTTCAGCTATCCTCAACATTTACCCCCGGAATTACTGCAGCCTAAACAGCCAACGGTGCCTCTGGGGTAGCTGCTGCAGCGCCCGCTTCTGCTGCTGCTGTTGTTGCTGTTTTTGCTGTTGCTGCTGCTGCTGCTGCTAATCGAGCAGCATTTGCTGCTGGTGCCGCAGGTGGAGAGGCAGCAGCAGCTGCTGCAGTCGATGCAGCAGACGGCTCCGAGGCCACAGAGTCACAGCGAGAGGAAACCTGACGCTTGCACATCCTACATGAGCAGCAGCAGCAGCAGCAGTAGCAGCAGCAGCAGCAGCAGTAGCAGCAGCAGCAGCAGCAGTAGCAGCAGCAGCAGGAGCAGCGACAAACAAGGACTCCACAGGAATTATTCATAAAGCTTATTCGTACAACTCAAATAGTTGCAGCAGCAGCAGCAGCAGCAGCAGCAGGAATAGAGAGGCCAACTGCTACAGCAGCAACACGAGCAGCAAAGACAATTGTAAATGCAGCAGTAGCAGCAGCAGCAGAATCAGAAGCAGCATCAGCAACATCAGCAGCAGCACCACCAGCACCAGCAGCATCAGCAGCACCAGCAGCATCAGCAGCACCAGCAGCAGCATCAGCAGCAGCATCAGCAGCAGCATCAGCAGCATCATCATCAGCAGCAGCATCAGCAGCAGCAGCAGCAGATGTACAAGAGTATTTTATTGATGTGTTGTTTGCCTTCAAACTCCACAGCTAAGTGCGAAGCAATAGACACGAGAAACTCTACATCAGCAGCAGCAAAAGAAGCTTTTGACGAGGGCCCAAGCACTTCTATTACTCCTATGACATCCCCCTGCTCAGTAAATATAATATAAATATGTTTAATTATATTTAATTATATTATATTAAACATATTAATAAAATAATTAACTAACCATATAAATATATTATTTTATATTCAACATATTAATAAATTTATCAACAGTTTTTAATACATATTATATTAAATACATAAATTTATATATACAGTAAATATTATATTAAACATATTAATAAAATAATAAATAAAGTAAATAAAATATTATATTAAAGACATAACTAAATTAATTAATAAAATTAATATTATATTAAATAAATTAATAAATTTATACATACAATAAACACAAGATTAAATAAAACAAATAAATTAATAAATATAATAAAATATATTAAATAAAGACAGACAAAGACAAACAAACAAAACAAAGTACAGATGAATAAACAGATGAATAATAATCTGTTGCTGCCGTTGGTGTTGCTGCTGCAACTGCTGCTGCCCCTGCAGTTGCTGCTGCGGAGGCGGTTAAAGAGCAGCAGCAGCAGCAGCAGCAGCAGCAGCAGCAGCAGAAGGCAACAAAAGATGCAGCAGAAAGAAGAAAACCAAGGAAAAGACAGGGAGGGAACAGAGTGACAGCCAGAGCTACA